CCTTCTCTATCCTACTGCCATGGGCATCCCTACAGGAGTTGGAACTCCAAAAATTCTTCTACCAAGACAACGAACGACCATATATAGTTTACACAGGATGTCAGAATGAACAGTTCGTTATCAGATGTACCAGTTTTACTTTAATGGCAATAAATAGACAATAGAATATTGCTGCGTGTTACAAAACAATAAACATGAATGAAGAAAACACTTAAACACTGTATCTGTGTGTGTAGTTTGATGTAGGAGAAAGTCTTAAATAAATGTGTTACATGGAAGAAAATGAAAGGAAAAGTGCTAGTCTACATGCGCGCTTTTCTCCGCGTTCAACCTACATCTTGCCATGTCTGGGTGAAATAGGAGAAAGAGGATGACAGAGAATGTCACTGCATATTTATAGACTTAGAGAGAGTCCCCTATCGGCGTTTTTTTTTTTAGGAAAGTAAGTGGGGACACTCCATATCCTAAAAAATGTTATGTTACTGCAATCAATGAATATGAAAAGAGTAAAAAAATAGAATTATTGGCAAAATGTTAATGAAAAATGTTTGAATGATAAATGATAGCGAGATAAGCAAAACAAACATTACGGCCCGAAATGCATTTCACTGAAATGACGAAAATTAAATGTTGCGCTTAAACATAAATATACAGTGTAACCCGGATATAAGAGAGTTGTCGGAACCGGATAAGAAGTCTCTTATATCCGGGTTTCTCTTATATCCGGGTTTGGTCTATTTTGTTTAGGTAAGTATGGGCTCTAATTTGGGACCAGAGAAACTCTCTTTTATACCCGGGTTTCTCTTATATCCGGGTCTCTTATATCCGGGTTACACTGTAGAATTATTCATTCCAATACAATGCATTAAATTTTCCTAATATAACAATTCTGAGTGATAATAGATATTCCTAATGAAGTAAACACTAGTAAATATAAACGCAATATGTCGGAGTGAAAGGACTTGTTTATTTTTTTCATTGCTCAAAGAGAGAGATGTATTTTAAAAGTCCTTATTTTAATTATCCATTTTTTCTTATATCTTTCTTTGTTTATTATAATTTTATGATATTATTATGCATTTACAATATTTAATTATAAAAATACATTTTTTCTATGAAAAGTTGAGGTATACATCGATTGTTTTATTTTTTTTTAAATAAGTACTTTAGCAAGATTAATTTATTAAGAACTAGCAGGATTCGGCCGCTTGCTATCGCTTCGTAAAGTAAGATATATTTACTACTTGAAATCTTTGAAACAAAAATTTTAAATGAACATTTCATTTATAAAGTAGCTAGTTATAGTTAAGGAAAGTTTTACAAATAGATGCCAACTTGTTAAAGGCCAAGTAAAATGAAAATTTCAAATATTTTTCTGCACTGTATAAGACGATATTCCTAAATAGAACTATTTTTGATATGAAAACAATTCTCGAATAAAAAAACAATAATTAAGGAGAGTTAAAGAAAAATCTTTTTTAAAATCAATATGCAAATGAGTTAAACCTGAAGAGTGATATTGCCTAGAAGTAGATAATATATAATACAGTTATTGAAATTTTAGCATAAAAATTCCTACTTGGAGGGATTTCTAACGCAGGATTATCATCTCTCATTTGCGTCTTTGTCCTTGGGCAGAGTGTTCTCAGGGCCTTCTCTGTCAAGGGACAGAGAGGCAACTGAGAAAATTATACTGAGCGATGCCCAGTCCTAGGGCACAGATGCCGGAGGCCTCGCCCTCCCATTGCACCAGAGGGGAGGATCAGTGCTCGCACCGAGGCCAGTGTAACCGGCGGGGGCTGAGGGAAATTTTTGTTCTTGTCCCGGGCGTACGCGCTCGGGTCCCCACCTAAAAAAAGACCTTGTGTCACATCTCGTCACCTGGGGACAAGGAGTTAATTCCGCATGAAAATTCCTCCTAGGAGGTATTTCTAATGCATGACTTATCATCTCTCAGTTGCGTCTCTGTCTTTGGGCAGAGTGCATTCAGGGGCTTCTCTGTCAAAGAACAGAGGTCAATAGCTGCCCGAGGTCGCACCCTCTCATGGCACCAGAGAGAGGGATCGGTGTTCGCACCGAGGCCAGCGCAAACGACGGTTGCGGGGGCTGTGGGCAATTTTTTTCCCTTGCCCGGGTGTACGTGCTCGTGTCCCCACTTTAAAAAAGACATTGTGTCACATCTCGTCCTAGTGGGAGGAAACGAGTAAATACCGTGTGTAAATTAATCCTTGGAGTGATTTGTAGCACGATTATTTATCATCTCTCAGTTGCGTCTCTGTCTTTGAGTAGAGTGTGCTCAAGGTGGGGCGCGTCAACGTACAGAGTCGCAACTGAGGAAAATTATACGGAGAGGTTCCAGCCCTGGGGAACAGCTACCCGAGGCGGCGCCTTCTCATTACACTAGAGAGAAGGATCAGTGCACGCACCGAGGCCAGCGCAACCAACGGCTACTGGGTCTGTGGGCAATTTTTGTTTCTTGCCCAGGTGTTCACGTTCGGGTCCCCCACCTTAAAAAAGACCTTGTGTAACATCTCGTCTCAGTGGGAACACAGAGTAAATACCGTGTGTAAATTACTATTATGATATGGCGGCTTTAAAGCTAGCTTAATTTTTTAAGCTAACTGCAATTTTAGACACAGGAGGGAAATAAGAGTTACTCCACTTGAACCATGAAAGCAACGATAATAGATAGTAGAATATATTAATATATCTTTTTAAGCTCGCATAATCTGGCAACCCTGAATCTGAGCTCAACGAAAATCGTTACCTGTGCGTAACTTTTCTAGGGCTTTTGAATGAGCTATGAATCATTGAAATTGGACCAGTGGGGGAGGAGGAGTTGCTTGGATACATACGCACACAAGCACACACGCATACGCTGTACTTTATATATAAGATGCATCCATGATGAGGTTATAGACGTCAATCTAGTTTTCCAAAATGATTACTGGCCTTCTTGATTCGGAGGGCGATTTCATCATCCAGGTTGTTTGTCATATTTACAGTACTGCCTAAATATATAAATTCTTCCACAACCTGCAATCAAGTTGGTTCACAGTGTCATCCTAGACATTTTTTTTCACCATAATCCATCTTGCATGTTTGTAAATCTACCTTTCGCTCATGCATTGAATATTTCTGCCATATCTGATTTTGTGATGTCATCAGATATTCATTGTCACTTTCGTAATGCTCATTGAAGTAGAGATTTTGAAATCGCAGATACAACTATAGTAACACCGTAGAACTATGCCAGTGTCACACATCTTCGAATATCACTCGTACTAATAGTACTTGCTCGATAATACACGCTCGAAGAGAAATACATATAGTGATCTGAATAGAGAAATAGTATAGAGAATAGAGTAGAAAATAGCGGTCCGTATAGTAATAGAATAGAAAATAACGATCGTTGGACGTCACGCTACGTCCCATATATGCGTTTCTCTATGGTCACGTGATCCACTTAATTTAATAATGGGATCGCTTGTGTTTGATCACTGGCAATCTATATTCAAACTCAAGTGTTGGCAGCGATACTTTATTTCTATATAACATCTGATCTGGTGCTCCTGCTGTATAGCTCAAGATTCTTAACAAAATCCAAAGAAAAGCTATCAATCCTGACATCTCACTTTCAATCACTTTCCCACTGCGGTGACATTTCATGAATTCACCTTAGTATATTCGAACTTCTTTCACGCTGGGACCATCAATTAGAATTTTTAAACTGTTTGATTTTGGTGTTCACCGTGGAATTCAAAACCGATGACAAAAAGCGAGGTGAGTAATTAAATCCTGTTATAAATATATTTTAATGTGGTTGAAAACTTTTCTAGCATTTTCTTTTCACAAATCCTGTATTTATAGTATCATTATTAAATTATGTACTTATCGTCCATGACTTTCCATGGTCTCAAACGACGTCTAAGCTAAATTCAGTATTCCATACAATTAGGTTGATGTAAATGCTTACAACATGTTAGGTTGATGTAAATGCTTACAACATTAACAAATGTTTTAGACATATCATATCATAATTCAGCCACCAAAGTATTTTCCCCTGATTTCTATCGTTTTATGCTGAACTTTCAGTTAAGCTTTGTAATCCACTATAAAAAAAAAATTATTCCAGTTTTAATTTAATGGATTTTCTATATCTTGAAATCTTTGAAACATTTGCCTCATCAAAGAATATAGCATGAAGCAAAACATGTGATTCTTGAAGATAACAGGTTCTAGACATGTAGAAGAACTTGTAATTCCACCTTCATAGTCGGTTGTTGCAACATATTCGCAGAAAAAGGAGAGTTTTTGTAAGCCAGATAAATCAACTGATTTCTGTAGCCAGGAAAAGGTCTATGGCTTAAAGACAGGAAAAAAGGCCAGTTGCCATTGTTGTATTGCACAGTGTCTGTTTGTCTAGGTTCTAGCAATTTGTAATAAAAACAATCCATTTTAATCAAGTCATATACAGAGAAAAAATCCCGATGTAGATTTCATTTACGATGAGATGTTGAAAGCTCTCGTGAGTTTAAACCTGTTTTTATCTTTTTTAATGTTTTCATATCATATTCATTTCTTGACAGGGACTGACTTGTCCAGTAAAGATGTTTGTCTGTGTTAATTTAAATGAAGTTAGTTGTTTAAAAACTGACCGATATATTTTCTCTCCAGAAACTGATGTGAAATTTATCCAAGGGCTACTTTTCTAACGTCAGTTTTCCTCAGGCTAATAAAGGACATGCAATAAATGACTGATTTCACAAGTGTGAAGGCTGCAATAAATTTCAAAAACACTTCCAAGATTTCGTTAAGAAGGAAAGGCACTGTCGATTTTTGCATAATCCTAATATTAAAACAAATTGCGCATCCTGAATGCTACACTTCCATTCTAAAAAATTATGATAGCCCCTGTAAAACAAAATGAATTTTAAAAGAAATTTGAAAAGATTAATTTCTGTATTGATTAGTTTCTTTAATATGAAATTTTTACTTACAGATAAGGTGACTTTAGGTAAAAGTTGGCAGTCACTTGTTTGTACATTGCTTTGGCTTCAATTCTGATTACATCGTCGATATCAGGATCCCCAGAGGAAAACAGGATCGGGAAACGCCAAAGGCATCCATGTTCCTTGAATATTACAAGATGGGCACACTGCCTGATAATAAGAAAAATTAGAACAATAATAAGAATGATGATGATGATGATGAAGTACAAATAATATACATAGGAAAAATACTTCAATCCAATTTGATAATAGCTTCCTATGGACAAAAACTGGGTTAATGATTCTATCAAAGAGCGAATCAAAATAATAAGGATAAAGAACTGGAAACGTTGATTATGACGTTGGTAAAAATTATCAGGTTCAACACGAATTCTGTAATCAATATATTCTTCCTCGGCACTTATCCGTCAGAATTGAGTGCTCTGGCTTCTGGTCAAGTGTTTATATACATCACGTATATAATACGTTAAAATATTTCCTTTTTCTGCTGTGCGCTGATAGCTTAGGGGTAGAGTCTCTAACTGATGCCAAATTGGCCGAGTTTCGATGCCAGCTTGAAGCAATCGGATGTCTAGCCACACTGATGAGCTGTAAAACAGGCTATATATATATATATATATATATATATATATATATATATATATATATATATATATATGCATTAATTCACCTCAAGGGTGACAATGCCAAAATGCAAGAGGCTACTGAGAGGGAAAGTAAATGGAAAGATTTTAGAAGGAGCCGGAAACCAAATTCTAAGGAAAAATAAAATAAATAAATAGTAAATAACATGTCAGAGTTTAGGCGGAGACGTTAGAAGTATAGAGTTGAAGTAAACTTTAGAAGGAACTGGAAACTTAACAGTAAACAAGGAACAAACCTCTACTCTTGTTGCTGTTAGTTGCAGAGCTAGCTAAGCTCAGATGATATGTGACAGATTTCAGTATAATCTGCAACAGTTACAGGAAACAAACTGATAGTATGCAGATAGGAAAAGAGATAAGCAAGTAAAAAAAAACCCAGAAGCAGATGATAATAAAAGGTCATCTAATACTGACAGGACATAATGAAGGTAAGATTAGCAGAATGAACCAGTGAATAAGCTACTCAATGAGCTTGTGTGAATGAATGGCAGAACAAGAGCAAAAGGGATAGCAAAATGTCAAAATTAGTTTCAACAACAAAAAGTGGAAGTTGTAGAGAGCCATGCCCGCTCATTTCCTGAAGAGATACAGCACATAAGTGACGATGATTTTCAGACATTTTCATTCAAATAACTTTAGATAATCTGTCAATATTTCTGAGATGAGTGATTGTAACTATTTACATTGTTCGGACTGTTGTCCTCATCTTTATTGACATATTTACAATGTTTCCAGAAAAAGTATGGTATGTGAAACTAGAACAATCTACCCCAATGGACAAAATATAGGGTTCAGTTCAAAATTGCAAAGTATATCACTGGAAGAAGGCTGCAGTGTACAATGGCCAAAATGTCGTAAATATAACAATAAAGATGAGGACAAAAATCCAAACAATGTAAATAGTGTTAGTAACTTCAGATAAATTTGCTGAAAATTTCTTTGATTTTATTTGCTGTCAATGTAATTGTTGAGGGGTCCACCCCTTTTTATACAAATGGACTCACCCAGTGTATACTTATACTACTGCCAGTGAATACCCGAGGAAAAGAGCCAGACCGAAGAGTCGAGTCGAGTCCAGTGTGACAGAGTAAAAGGTTGAAAAGGTTAAACCGGAAGAGTGAGGGTGAGGTAACAGCGTTGTAGGAGTCACAGTGAGCGAGCACGTAGACTCAGTAAGAAGTCATACAGCGATACTTCAATACCAAAGACTGTATATATATATATTTTGCTACTAACCCGTATTCCTGGAACTACTAACCTGCTTTACCAGTTTGTATTATTACGTTAATACATTATTTTCATATATTCATTCCTGGCGTTTGTTATTTATTGGTACCGGATTTCAACCCGGAAATCACAGCAGTAATCAAGATTCTATTAGAGGAGATGCTTACTAAATAAGCAGGTTGCAAGTAAAGTCAGCCCCTTCAACTGACTCAACTTCAAAAAACATCAGTTTTGCAGCAGGCCATTATCACAAAGCTGTTTCTATTCACCAGACTGGGTGTATGATTCGAGTGTATTATCTTTTCAACAACACGTTAGCATTTATTTTTGGTGGAGTTGAAGAATAGTCATTGCAACCAGAAATAATTTTTTAAAAATTTGTTTTTCATATTAATATAGATTAATCACCACAGATATGAAAAGAAAGTATTTTTAAATAAATTTTATATTATTTAATAGGCATTCCAATTTGTAATGTAAAATCATTGTAAATTGATCTCCCTATGGAAGTCAAAATAAATTATGCTAATTCTTAATCAGGAGTTCTTTTTTCATATTACTATGAATTAAGCACTCCACATTACAAATTCCAGATTTTTCTTTCACATTTTAAAAAATCACATCATATGAGCATATTCATTTTGACTTGCGTAGGGAATGAAATTACATAGCAAAATGAACACTCCCCCACCCAAAAACTTTTATAAGATTTTTTTTTTTATTTTTTATTTTATTCATGATTGGAATGCTCAATCTATAGAAATAAGAAAAATCAATTGAAAAATTAAATATTTCTGGTCACATTGCCTATTGTAAAACTCCACCTTAATTTTTTTTTTTTACTACTCCCTCTTTTCTTTTTGCTTTTTTTCTTTATCTTTTCTAATTTTCCACACCTTATCCACCCCTTTTCATCATTTCCCAATTCCGTCATGCTCAGTAATCATCATCCAGTTCACACTCCTCCATCTTTTGAACAGAAGAAGAGGTTTGTCCCTTGCATCCTGTTTGGGTTTCCGGTTTGTTCTCCTAAAGTCTCCTCATTCTCTCACTTCGAATAGACCCTTGCATCTTTGTGCATTATTGCCTTGCTTGAGGGGTAATGATTAAAAAAAATGTAGGTTCCTCATTCAGAAAATATAACTGATTCCAGCTGAGAAGAGCTGAAGATCAAGCAGATGTAATCTTTTTATTTGCTATTTAACATATACCTCTCTCTATGAGGGTAGGTTGAGTCACATGAATAATTTAATCTACTGTTTTCACATGCTTCCTTCTTAGCTTTTCTCTTTCATGTATATTGCTCCTTTAGTTCTTTTGCGGATTTTCACCAATTCCTTCGTACTTAATACTATTATGTACGTTTTTTGGTCATAAAGCCTAATTAATGCCAGCTTAGTAGGATGTGGCAGATTCTAAAATGGAAAATGTAATTCATTTACACGGCTTTTTTGTGTGATGAATTATTTCCACCCTACAATTCCTTTCTAACAGATTAAATATTGCTAATCTATCGTTATTACTATAGCAAATGTTCAGAGGACCTACATTCCTTAGTTCCACCAGTTCAGACCTTTACAGCTAAGCCTCTTGCTACTCTATCGCTATTTCCATGGTAAATGTTCAGACAAGCTACATTCCTTAGTTCCACCAGTTCAGACCTTTACAGCTAAGCCTCTTACTACTCTATCGCTATTTCCATGGCAAATGTTCAGACGAGCTACATTCATTAGTTTCACCAGTTCAGACTTTTACAGCTAAGACACACTATGCTACATTCACAGGGTCGAATCATTTTCATCAACCCATTGGTAAGGAGAAAATTTCATTCAGGTAGCTTTTTCATCAGAAATAGTACTTTTTGCAAATGCCTCATTTCAAGTCTTGGGTCAGCCGTTATCCTACAGATCTTCAGTTCTTACTTCCACCATTTAAGTACTTACAGCAACCTCCTTCTGTAAGCCTCTACCTTGAGTAGCTCTTGGGTCTGGCATTGGGTGAAAAACAGTATTTTTTTAAAAAAAAATACAAATAAAAGTATAATTACATAAAAACATCTTTTCTTTTTTTAAGTGCTATGTCTTTTCAGGGCATAGGCGATCATGACTTTCCGCAAAATACTGTTTTTAGCTGTTCCTAGCAACTTTTGACCCTTTATTTCTGACTCCTCCTTTTGAGCCGACTTGCTCTTTGTTCTTGATCTCTCATCCATTCACACAAACTTGTTAAATAGGTTATTCGCCTTTTCCCCCCACTGTTTCAAATTGTAATAACATAGCTTAGAAATTTGCACAGAAATCTATTCATAGAAACTGTGGTTGACAGTTACAAAGATGCTATATGCTACCAAACTACTGTTCATCTATTAATATTTAAAATCTCATGAACAATAAATTAATTTCTGGTTTGTCAGTTATAAACAGACACTTGAAAGAGAAAAGAAACCTTTGTACTCACTCAAGGCATTTCATCGGGTGGAATTCAATCTCAAAGATCAAAATAGCATCGGAAGAATTCAGATCTTTCACGCTTTTAAGCAGATTAATTACGATAATTTTCTTGAGATCGAAGTTTGCCTGCTGATTAGGGAACTGAAATTCGTAACTGATTTCAGGAATTGTTTTAGCTGAAAATTAAAATATAAAAAGACTGTTAATTTAGACGATCTATAAAATGAATTTATTAAATAAACAAAAATATACAGTGTGTTCCTAAAGTCTGGACACACAGGAAATCTTATTAACTATATTTTTTTTACACCCCTAGATTAAACATCGTTTTCTTGAAAGAAGAAAGAATTGACTTCTTTTTCTGGTGTATGCTAATGGTGTACTCGATGAAAATCACTGATGCAAACACGCTTGATTGAGTGCATAACAAGTGAATGTGCTACAATTGACAGCAATGTGGAGTTATTGCATTGAGTCCACATGAATTTTGCAAAGAGCATCAACCTTTGCATCACAAATGCTGGAAATCATATTGAAGATGCTATTTGTTAATATTCCAATTCAATAAAATCTTGTTGAAAATTTCATTTCTTGAAGATATACATCTTTGCCTATGCGTCTAAACTTTAGGGACACCCGGTATAATAGAAAACAAAGATTTTGGCAGCAATGGTGGAAAATTTTACGTTGGTTATTTTAAAGAAAACCAAGATATTTTGTATCTCAAGGAAACTACAAATTATAAGTTTTACTTAACATGTAAAACTTTCCAATTTTCCAGATCAATCAGACTTACAATTAAAATATTAAAAATTAAAAATCACATAAATATCAAGTTTAATTGAACTGATGTTTGCTGAGACATTATTGTCTGTTTTTCAAATGTCAACTGTTTTCCATCATATTGAGGCAATTACTTTATGGCTGATTAGACCAGCCTGGGAATGGTACACTTTTCAGAATGTGGATGGTCAGCATCCACATACTGAAAAGTGTACCACATCTCCACATCTCTTGTGGGCCTAAACAATGTTTATTTATATAAAAATATGTAAATTAAATAAATGATTAATAACAAGGTGAAAATAAAAATATTATAATAGACAAGGTTTGTTTATTATACTTGCTTTTTAAGAAAAGCATTAATTTTGTTAAGAAAGGTGAAATAAGGAAAAAGCCTGGGCGTATATTAATATTTGGGTAATTTTTCTATGGTGGCACTCTCCAGAATTTTCCTTCTGAGTGAGTTATTTTCTTTTTTTATGAGTGTAGCATTTTTAAAATCAAAATTATGGTTGAATTTATTTCTATGTATGACTAGTGCATTAGCTAAGTTGTTTTTTGTGAGGTCTCTTTTGTGCTCATAATTGTGTTTTTTCAAACTTCTACTTGTTTCGCCAATATATTGGGAGAAACAGTTTTGGCAATTTATTTTATAAATGCCTGCTTCAGAAATATTAGTGCTATTATTGTTTGAAGATATTAGTATATCTATAATGGTTTTGGAAGTGTTTGTGACTATTTCAAGATTATTTAGATGGGATAGGTTATTCTGGATCGTGGACGTGGCTCTTGAAATCAACACCCAGTGTCAACAGTTTGTTTCATGCTAAATGGAATCATCAGGCCGTGTTGACTTCAATGTTCACTTTACATACACCCACACACACATACATATATATTACTTCAAATGTTAGAGGATACCCATGTTTAAAATGGACAACCTCACTTTCATTATTAATATTATTATTATTTTAAACAGTTTGTTTTAGGTCTACCAGCCTGAATGCTTGAGAAAACTTAAGAAAATTTGAACCTGTATCTCTCTTTATAGAAGAAACCCCCATTTGAACCAGCATGCTTTAGACTGCTTGGCCACAGAAAGTGCCACAATACAGCAAGAGAATGCTTATCCCCTCATTAAGATTTTTTCAAAAGTTCATATTTGATTGATTTTGTAACCAAAACAAAGAAATTTATAAAGGATTAATTGATCTATTTCATTTTTTATTACCACAAATGTTATTTTTAGTGGATATTCGTATTTGAAATAGACGCCCCATTTTAGGGCTTTTTTTTATTCTTACCAAAATGTTGGTGTGGCAAAGTACAGCCTGTCTTTCACTTCCACTCAGTCCTTTTACATAACAATTTATTCTACTAGAAATCAATCAAGATGGAAAAATATCTCAAGCCAGAACGCCTAGATCTAGACCCGAATAAACCTGACTCGGCCGACACATGGCAACACTGGAAAAGATCCTTCCATATCTTTCTCGAAGCGGCCGGTGAATCACAACAACAGACTCCACTGACAGACAGGCTGAAACTGAACTTACTTATCAACCTTGTCTCTCCCACTATCTTCAAACACATCTCCGACGTGGACGATTACGATTCTGCCATGGACGTTCTGGAAGGAGTGTTTGTGCAGCCTAGAAATACCATCTTCTGTAGACATCTGCTGGCTACTCGCCGTCAACAAACAGACGAGAGTGTAGACCAGTATTTGTGCAGTTTTAAAAAACTCGCCAAGGATTGCGAGTTCCAGGCTGTTACAGCAATACAGGCGAGAGACGAATACATACGAGACGCGTTTATAAACGGAATTTCGTCTAATCACATCAGACAACGACTCCTGGAGAACAAAACACTAGATCTAGGCACCGCTTATGATCAGGCGCTAACACTTGAGATGGCACAGAAACAATTAGCATCATACTCTCAACAGAACTCACTAAACACTTCTGCCTCTACTGCTCAAACTGAGGTAACTGACGATGAAGATCAGCCTGGGGGCTATGAGGAACATAACGTGGCCGCCATCTCTGGACAAAAATGCTTCTTCTGCGGGAATCAGAGACATGACAGAATTAGATGCCCTGCACGAAACTCCATTTGCAAAAATTGCCAAAAGAATGGACATTTTGCTCGTGTCTGCAAATCACCTACTGCAGCTGCTATCAACCACGGTGAGTCCATTCTTGCGTTTTCCATTCCATCACATAATTTCTCAGAGAGTCTATCTTGCACAACTTTGCGTGGAAAAATCAAAGGCAAGTTTCTAAAAATACTTATTGATACTGGCAGCTCTGAAAATTTTTATTAATTCTGACAAGGTTAAAAACAAAGGATTGGCAATCTCGCCAAGTTCAGAAAGAATTTTATGGCTAGCAGTTCCCATTCATCCTCTACTCTTGGACATTGTATAGTATCCCTCAATCTAAGCGATAGAGAGTACACTAATGTCAAATTGTCTGTTATGGCTAACTTATGTTGTGATGTCATTCTTGGGCATAATTTTCTACGTCAACATTCTTCAGTGAAAATACCTTTCGGGGGACTGCTTCCACCTCTCACTGTTTGCGGACTAACTGCAATTAATAATGTCCCTTACACCTCTCTGTTTGCGAATCTAACTCCTGACTGTCATCCAATAGCAGTAAAATCCAGGAGACATAGCCTACCTGACGCTAAATTCATTCGTTCAGAAATATCGCGGATGCTGAAGGAAGGAATTATAGAGCCATCTCAGTCGCCATGGCGAGCCCAAACCCTGGTAGTGTCTCCTGAAAATCACAAAAAGAGACTCGTCGTGGATTATTCCCAGACGATAAATCGGTTCACTCTTCTGGATGCTTATCCACTTCCTCGGATAGAGGACATGGTAAATGAGATTGCCTGTTATCAGGTATTTAGCACACTTGATCTAACCAGTGCCTATCACCAGGTTGCCATCAAGCCAGAAGAACGAAAATATACTGCTGCTGCTGGGTCTCTGTACCAATTTTGTCGAATCCCTTTCGGAGTGACCAATGGAGTAGCAAGTTTCCAACGAGTCATCGATGATATTATCAAGCGAGAAGACCTCCGAGGAACCTACGCTTATATCGACAATGTTACTATCTGTGGTCATAACCAGGCTGAACATGACCACAATCTAAAGAAATTTATGAGTATTGTGGCAAAGTACAGCCTGTCTTTCACTTCCACTCAGTCCTTTTACATAACAGTTGGTAAAGTTTGCAAATGCAACCCTACCAACTCAAATGAAAAACATTGAAACAGCAAAAGAAAATAGAAAAGGATACTAATAAACAAAAAAGTGACTAAAAAGTGAAAGGAAACATAAACTAAAGAAAAAAGAAAGACAAGAAAAGAGAGGTGACTACCAATGCAATAATCCAAAGTGCTCAATGTTTATGAAAAATAGACCAAGACAGAACAGTAATGCTAACCAATGACTGCTCAAAGAGAGTAGGTCCAAATCACTACTCCAAGTTTATTGCAACATGATTGTCAGACAGCAAGAAAATGCTTTGGGACGTTGGTTTGAACTTTGCTGGAGAACATATTCTCTTGATGTGCAGACTGGTAGATGTAATTCACACTATTACAAAAATAATGAGGCATCTACTCAAACACGGGTATCCACAAAATGATCTTTGTCAGATACAATATAAATTGATTCCTTACAATATATATATATATATATATATATATATATATATCAATGAATTTCAAGAAAAACTTACATTGCTTATAACCATATGTATTCGAAAGTGAGATGAATTCATCTGGGTTTAAGACACGCGCTGATATAACATTTTCTCTTGATTCAAGATTTAAGTTGATGATAATCTCCAGTTGTGTTTTCAGTTTCTTTCGCATCTTGCATGTTAGACTAGTAACTGGCATTTGATTCAGCTGGATATATTCAGGTATGCCAATCAGTGGAAAACACCAGTCGATTGTTGGCAAGGTTCTAAAGAACAGAGAAAAAGAAAAAGTGAAGAAAATGATTATTATTATTAATAATAATAAAACAGTTAATAATCAGCCTATTACATTTCAATTTAGGATTCTACTAGTTTACCAACTCAAAAGTACAAAACAATGGTAAATGACCCGCTCCAACAAGTATGTTTATTGCTTATGTGTATGTTAACAGATGGGAATGTGTTAGTTATGATGATGATCATTATTGTCTCAAGAGACAAAACAGTCTTCTTTGTAGTGTGAGCCAAAGTTTATTTGCGTATTTCTAATCTCAACTCAGAATTTTAAAATGCTTACTAAAAAAACTAATTCTTTGATTTTTTACTGTATACCATTTCACTTTAAAAATGACAAGAGCGTCAATTAAAATTGTTTGATATCATTACATTTTGATTAGCACGATTTTCATTTTGAAAGTGAAATAGTACAGAAATTCAAGGGACATAACTCAGAAAAAAATTACTAATGGGAGGCAACTTTTGACATTTCTAGAAAATCGTGTAAATTTTAAATGCAATTGAATCCTGCAAAGAAACTTATGCTATAAATTAGAAAGACAGCTGAAAATTTTAAGGTATACAGTGAGGTAAGAAGGTTCAGAGACTTTAACTCAAAAAGTTCAATACAGGCAAAACTTATAGCAAAAAATCAATTAAGCACGCTGATTTTTAATTAAAAAAAAAATTTAAGAAATTGTATCATGTGGTTATTTTCTAAGTGCAGCTTAGATGTGGCAGTAGGCTGAAGTCTGGTGCACCCAGTGAGGACTGAACTCTAAATGATTTACTAAGTGTTGCTTAGATTTGGCACAAGGCCGAAAGTATGGGGTACCTAGTGAGGATCAAACTCACTACTCAGTCATAACTGTTATAGTGAGGCAAGTGTGCTAACCATTACACCATACAAGGTACCCAGAAATCGTGTTGTAAGAGCATATTTGTTTTTGTGTCCGTAGGGGGATCAATTTACAATGAATTTACTTAGCCAAGTGGTTCTCCTATTAACTTTTATTAAATTTACTTAAAAATAAATATATATTTGTCAACTAGAGTGCTTACTATATTACTTGTTGCAGTTCCTATTACACAAATGACTGAAAAAGTATGTATAGAATTAAAAAGGAACACCAGATTATGACTTTTAGCTTTATTTTTTTAGTTTTTTTACATCTTAAGAAGTTATGTGGTATAAGCACATTTTGTTTTGGCTTCCATAGGTAGATCAATTTACAATAAATTCGCATTGCAAATTCGACCATCCTATTAAATTTCTAAAATGGAATAAACATTTTTATATATTTATAATATGAAGTTTTTAACCTGTATTTAATATAAAAAAAGAAAGAGATTCGAAAAAAGGATTATTTTTGGTTGCTGTGCACTACTATTTTTACTCCAAACATTTGCATCAGAGTGACGGAAAAAAAAATGATCACTATTATCATTCACTTTCTTCAAATATTGTTTTTCACTTCACTCTCAAATTTCTGTATATCATGATAACTACCCACCTCCCACCAGAAAAAAATGGATTAGATGCCCAAAGACAAATCTTTTTTCTATAAAAGGCCATAGTTTTTTTTTTTTTTTTTGTATTTACACAACCCCCAACAAGGTCAGGTTGTGACACAGGGTCGGTTTAATGTGGAGAGCCCGAGCACATACACCCGGACTAGGAACAAAAATTGCCTGCAATCCCACAACCATTGATTGTGCTGGTCTTGTGTGCAAGCACCTATCCCTCTCTCTGGTGCAATGAGAGTGCACAGCCTCAGGCAGCTGTTCCGCAGGGCTGGGCACCTCTCAGTATAATTTTCCTCAGTTGCGACTGTCCTTTGACGAAGTTGGCCTTGAGTGCACTCTGCCCAAAGACAGAGACGCAATTGAGAGATGATAATAAATGTGTTACTCAAGAGTAATAAAAGGCCATAGATATGACAAAACAATACGTCTTATTGATGGTGTGGAACAAGAATGCTAGTTTGGGTTCTCAGTAGCAAATTGGGCGATATTTGAAAAGCCATCACTACTAAGTTAGCCCAGTTGATTTTTAAATAGTTGCAAAATGCTGCAGACCTCAAGTGGAACCCCATATATACAATTCATTGCTAAAGGTCTTGGAAAAATGTTTGGTCCCTTATACCATTCAAGAAAGTACTTAACTCCTCCTGCCATGCTTTATCTTTACAAGAGCCAGATCAAAGCAAAAATGGAGTATCGTTATTACATCTGGGCTGAAGCTGTCTAATCCTCACTTTCCCACTTTGGCAACAACAAGTGTTCAAATGGCCTTGTGGGTGATGAATTATTTGCCACCTTCCAATTCTTTTCACACAGACGAAACATTGCTAGCTTCTCACTATTCTATCACTATTTTTCTGGCAGCTGCTACCTTCCTTACTTCTATCAGTTTAGATCTTCACAGCTGGAACCTTCCAGGCCATATACACACATCCTCATTCCCTTCATATTCCATTGGTAAGGAGGAATTTCCACTCAGACAGATTCTTCCTCAGAAGTGTTGCATTGTAGAACAGACTCCTGGGAGGATGTTTCCCGTATCACTACAATCTTAACCTCTTCAAGTCGAGGGTTAGCCATTAACTATATACATTCTCACAATATGTATATCTATATGATCCTATATATTATACATATCCTCATAATATGCTGATCTTCTTCCCACCTTGTATGCCCTTACAATAACCTCATTTAGTAACCCTCTACTTTGAGTGGCTCTTTGGCCTTGTACTGAGTGCATAAAAAAGTGCTGATATTTCAAAAGTAACCCATTCTTAGAACCCTAATGTTTAACAAGAATCTGTCCTCATCACTTACCCATCTGCTGGTTGAAGGGCAGTATTAGTCTGATGTACAGAAACCACACATTCCGCATTCGAGGGTTAGCCATTAACTATATACATTCTCACAATATGTATATCTATATGATCCTATATATTATACATATCCTCATAATATGCTCATCTTCTTCCCACCTTGTATGCCCTTACAATAACCTCATTTAGTAACCTTCTACTTTGAGTGGCTCTTTGGCCTTGTACTGAGTGCATAAAAAAAGTGCTGATATTTCAAAAGTAACCCATTCTTAGAACCCTAATGTTTAACAAGAATCTGTCCTCATCACTTACCCATCTGCTGGTTGCAGGGCGGTATTAGTCTGATGTACAGAAACCACACATTCCGCATAGTGCGTGTTATGATCACTCGGAGTGAAGATGACGGGAATGTCAAGCGTTTGATGTGGACTGAGAACAATACTGTCCCTCTGTGTTAAGTGAATTAAAAATGACTTAACTGAGATACCGTCTGCTTTTTCGTGTTCTTCATCTGCTGGAAAAAAAAATAAAGAGAAGAATTTTGGCTTTTCTGTCTTCCAGAGATTTCTCTCGTTAAAAGTTAACATTTTATTTTCAATATTTTGACTTTCACTAATGCAATCTGAGATTATTTTCACAGGTAATTGTTACTGTATCTACTGTCTCTTTTAACTTATTTCAGTTTATTTACATAACTCAGGAAATTGTGTTATGGAAGACTAATTACTTTAGTAATATTACTGACATTTACAGAATTGAAGTTGAGTGCATCACGCTATCAGAAACAGGGGAGATGAGAATGCCCCTTTAGAAATTCAAAATCGTAACTTTTATTTAGGCTCAAAATATTAACCTCTGGCACTGCACAGAATTTTCTGCACTTTCAGTTAACTGTGGCCAAACTCAAGAAGTCAGCATTTTGTAAACTTTATTTAACAATAGTCCCAGAACACAAAAGTAGTCATACAAGCAATATATGTATGTGTTATACTGGAACACACCTATTCTATAGTTAATACTCTCCCACCTATAATAAGTAGTAATAGTAGTAGCAGTCACTAAGTCGCTCAGTGAGTTGGTCAGTCAGTCGATGTCGGACATTAAAGTATCAGCCACCACAACTAGATTGCTGCGTCATTACCTATTATATCAAGTTCCTACCATTTTGTACGTCAAACCTATTTAAGGACCGACTTAGTGAAATACAAGCCTCCACTGTGAAACTACTGTATAACAGTATGTCAAACTGAAGCCATAATGTATTTCTTTTAAATTAAAAATTGGAAATTCTTGATTTCATGAGGAATGAAAATATCCTGTTGAGTTTTCTATGTCCGACAGTAAGAATGAATCTTCTATCTCATTATAATAATTTCTTATTAGTCATTACTGTTAATCTCTTAATAAGTCTAATAATGTCATATAGAATTATAATATTCCCTTTGAAATATGACAAATAAATACATCCTAAATTTTTAAACACTAATATATTGTTTGGCACAAGGACATATTTCTGCAACAAAGATTAATAAGATTGTTTAGTAACAATGGATCACATGACCAATCAGTAAAAGTTACCTTTTAGTTTCAAATTGACATAGACAATTTCATCAAGTGGATTGTAGAATTTGACAATGCCACTATTACTGTATCCTGTTACAGCATAGAAAGTTGTAGGTGGGTTCTTGCTGGGCAATAATACACATCCCTTCACGGTATAGGAAATTCTTCCTTGCTGCAAGCAAAAATAAAAGAGCTGAAATGTTGAATGAATAGTTTTTTGTTCTAGACATGAGTAACTAATTGTCTTCATGATCGAACATTTTTCACTGACAAGAACAGGAACAAATATATTGAAACTGTTGCTGGGTCCATTGCTAGACAATGTTTCTCACCAGAATCTTGCACCTCTATGCCTACCATTCATACATGTCACTCACCTCGGATTTTTGAACATGAATATTCCCCTCTCTTCTGCCTCTAACAACAACTAAGCAACAACTGCACCACACCTCATGCTACACACCCACAATGACTCAGAAGAATAGTGGAAGAGAGAAAAAAATTTTATAGTACGCATAATTCCTAGCTGGCAACTTGTTTAAGTTGCCAACTAGTTGTTACATATACTTTAAAAAATTGTGGGTAACAAAACACCCCATGGGTCTAACACAGGGTTAAATATTGCTGCTGCATCTGGTTTGGTGCTTCTTCTGTGTAGCTCAGGGGTTTCTTGATAAAATTCAAATAAAAATCTGCAAAGTTATCAGCAGCAACCTGGCATTTCAGCTTCATTCTCTTTCCCATTGCTGTAGCATAGTTTTCCTGTGCCTTTTCTATAAGTATTTTCATGGTAATTGTTCTAATGTGCTTTCTTCTTTGATACCTTGATATCATGAATTTAAATGCCGTACTGGATTTTCAGTTAGGTCTCATTTTTTTACTTGAAATTGCTCATGACTTCTATGTTAATGGTTTCTTGGACTACTTGTGGAACCATATGCATTATGCTATTTAATGCTACAAAACAAAAAGAAACCTTTCTCTTAGTGAAAAGGCGGATGATCTTATTTTCATTAAATGACACAGTGCGGTTTTGGCCTATTAGCTTGAAGACAGCCATGGAGACTAGCATAAGGATTTGGCCAATTTGGCTGACTGGAAAAAACAACAATTGTTATCAAACACCAGCTTAAAGCTACATGCTAAATCATATATGTCATGAATGCAAATGTTACACGTGATCAAAAAGCAGCAAAGTGGCCACTTAAATATATATCAAGATTATCAGTCTTCAACCATGGAAACATAAAAGGTATGTAATGGAGAACAAGTTATGAAGTTGTTATGAATAATGGATGCTAAGAGTGTCCTGCCTAACTAAGCCATCAGAAGTGATCAGAAAATATCCTTTTTTGACCTTTCATTTCCTCTCCATTGTACAGATGATTAAAGTGAGAATTTATCATCAGAACAAGAAAAGTCCATGATGTGACATTCTAGCATCTCTGCTATAAAAGGAGAAGATCACTAACCTTGCAAAGACTAGTATATTGCAATAAAAATCATTTTCCAAACATCAATTAAAAAAATATCTCTTCAGAAACAAGGACTGCAACAAGAGCTGAAGGCCATTATAGAAGAGATTATATATATATATATATATATATATATATATATATATTTGAATATATTTAATCATTTCACCCTAAGCAAGGTGATTATGCCACTAGAACACAGGGTGGGGGGTTACAGGGAGAGAAAGAGAAAGAGAAAACTTTAGTGGGGAGGATTGAAGAAAGACAAAAAAGTAACAGGTTTCAAGAAGGCAAAAGATGGCAACTGCATTGTATTACCACTTTTGAATATTGTAGTCCATATTCTGAATTAGAATTTTACATGAGATAACAAATATTCATCCTTGTGAAAGGCATGAATCTACTTCTCCCTGCACTCTTTATCATCACCAAATAATATTTTGTCACTGACATACTACACTCTCTGGCAGAGTTTACACTAGTTTTTTTTTTAACCATTTCACTTCAAGTAAGGCCATAATGCTACTAGAACATGGTGGGGGTGACAGGAAATTTAAGTGAAAGAGAATGATGAGACTGAGAATGCAGAGGATTGAAGAAAGGACCAATAGGGAACAGGGTTCAAGTAAACGGAAAATGGCGATGGATATTACACTTGAATTTTTTAAGATTGTAGTTTTCAGGGAGTTCCACAGTTGAGAAGTGTGAGAATAGAAACTGTTAGAGTAGAGTTGGCAGTTGTATCTGTCTAATAAAATGGTGAGACCTAGTTACCAATCTAGGAGCACACTTAGATTCATGTAGTCAAGGTACCAGGGAAAAAAGTTCATCAGAACAGTTGCCTTGAAAATATTTATAGAAAAGACAGAGAGAAACCATGTCACGTCAGTAAGAAAGTGATTGAAGTTGAGATGTCAAGTCAGAATCAATTATGTTACCAGCCCTTAGCATTCAGTAAACTAATTTTTCTGTAACTATATCACCTTCCCAACCAACAGCAGCATAAACTATTATCCCCATTGTCAAAGTTGACAGCCTAACACAAACAACAATAAACATTTCTTACCTGTTGGCATGCGAATGCGATATCGCAGCGTGGTTCCTTCTGAGCTAGCGTGGATGGAGCAAAAGTGAGTTTCATGGTGATCACTGAGTGTGGAGCCAGTCTGATAGGCCATTTCTCTTCAGGGTAATTGCTGAGATGAAAACTCTTGTCTGAGATTATTGGAAACATCTCCCACATTTCATTGCTGTTGTTAGGTAGTACAATGTTTTGAGACACAGACCTACATGTAGAGAAATACAGTTTCAGTAAAAGGAAGTCATCAAGGAAGATCAAAAGATGGTCTCTATGACACAAAAACAAAACTAAACCACCAATATTAAAACCTGGTTCCTACGTGGAATGATAACTAAGGATGCCTATTTTGTTATTGGTATCCACAAAAATTTAAAACCCCTCGTAAAAATTATGTCAGGTTAGGTGACTGGGAACAAGCAATGTCTTTCATCACATTTCACTATGGATTTTTTTTTGCATAAGATCCTTTTATTGTTTCAACTGTGGGATCTTTTGTTGGCACCATGTTATAAAAAATAGAGGTTATTTCCCTTTGTTAAATAGCTCATGCAAGTAGTAAGAGGAGTCTATTATAAACTTATAATAATGGATGTGGCTCAAAATCAGGCATGAAATAGGTTTTGAGTGCCAACTTGAGAGTCCAAGAAGAATATGGAGCGAATAGATGTGTTTTAGGCTACTATAAGCTGACAGCAGGAATGGAACACATGTGTTTTTTGCCTACTCCAAAGAATAAAAGAGGTTTGTCATGAGCAGATGCTAAATAATACATGGAAAGCAGCTACTAGAAGAAGATATGAACCATATCAGGTTAAGTCTCTCAGACAGAGATATGTATTTGGATTTCGTCCCCAATGTCATGACTTTTAACTGCTAAAAGAATACATTTTTAGCAGTCCTCTATTCCATTCTCATTATGTAATGATTTCTTATATAAAGTTTGTTTTCAAACTGTTCACTTGTCTCAACTTTGTTCATCCAGCCACAGTTTAGTGAGTTGTTAAATTTTCCAGTGTTTCTTTTCAGTATGTCTAACTGTGCATAACTGAATATAATGAACCCAACTAGAATTGAAACTTAGCTCTTGGATTAACAATTCCGAGTCATTATCCATTAAACTTCATGAACATCCAAGCTTATAACACTGGTTATTCAGTGCTCAGCCATGTAAATAATGACCAGACTTGATGTTGCTTAACTTCGGTTGTTGTACCAGAACCATTGATTCAGCCTAATGTGGTCATAAGCTTATTCATTCAAAGAGTGGCAGAATCAGAAAAAAATTATTAATAACATATATATATAGATCTGTGTCAAATAATGTATTGGGGAGGGTATGTTTCACACTTAAGGAGCAAGAGGTCCCAGGTTCACATCCCCGACTATCTCTTGATGCATTTTCATTTGTTCAAATGGCGTTCATGGAAAAGAAGAAAATAAAAGACCATCTGTCAAGTGACTTGTTTGTCTAGGGGTATAATTATGGTTCTTGGGTGCAAGCAGTCCTAGTGACAAATCCCCGATTAACACGGGATGTATATTCATTCATTCAGATGACAACTGTGAGAAAGAATATTAAGAATGGATTGCCCACCACAATCCCTCAAGTGACATATTAATCTCAATATGTGATTTTCATTTAGAGCTCTGAGAAAACACAGGTTCAACTTCCAGATGAACCCATTGCAAAATTTCAACTGTTTGAATGATGGCTGCTGGAAGGAAATTTTATATCGCCATCCATCACATGGCTCACTGTTTACAGATCTTTGTTCTCAGATCACTGGCCTTTGTTCTGGATACAAGATTCCCTGAGTTCCAATCCTTGATGTGCCTCAGAATCTTTTTCTTTCATGTTGTAACAACAGAAAAGAAAACTATCAATAAATTATATATTGCTTTTTACAAACTGGCATATTGGTATAAGAATTATGATGCACGTCTAGTTGAAGAGGGTCCCATGTTCAAATCACAGCTGAGAACATAGCTTTTAATCTGTTCAAAAGATGACAAATGCAAATGAACTGTCTTTATGTGTCTTTAACATGGCTAATTGAATTTATTAATAATTTATATTATGCAACAAATCAAGTCCTCAACTATTTTGTCGTATATTCTCATAGTCTTTCAGTTGGTTCTCGATTTGGATGCCAGAGTTCCCGGAATCAAATTCTTGAACAAATCTATGAATCATTTTCTTTAATTCTGATGGTAGCAGTGAAAATCTAAGTACGACTAAATTATATCATAACTTTTCAATGTTTCATTAATATTTGTTTCATGTTTTGAGTCTAAGAGGGATAATCCTATGGCATATTTTTATTGGTCAAATCAAGGGAAAAAGAAATTATGAATTAATTATGTCTAATATTCCATCAAGTGACTTGTTGGTGTAGAGATATGAATATAGATTATGATGTACCATAATATGAATATAGTTTATGAGGTACCATAATATGAATATAGATTATGAGGTACCATAATATGAATATAGATTATGAGGTACCATAATATGAATATAGTTTATGAGGTACCATCTTGAAATCTCAGACAAACCCTGACATCTTTTTCTTCATTCCAAAGAAGGCACTGAAAAGCAAAATTTTGAATAAATTACATAGGACTGGTAAGTGTCTTTAGACAAGTGACTTGGTTCTTATTTTGGTTGTGAGTAGTCCGGTGGTCAAAATATGGATCAAGCTTAGGGCATATTTTTTTCATTCAAATGTCAACAGTGGAAAAGAAAAAAAGAAAATGTTAGTTATGAACCATTCGTCACTAAGTGGTGTGGAGAGTGATTCGCAATTTGGTTGGCAGAAGTCCTGGGTTCTCATCCTGGACATGCACGCTGTTTATTTTTGTTTGTTCAAAAAGTAAACTAAATTCTTTCAATAACCACCATGTTGCCATTTCCATTTATAAATAAGTTATATTACGTTATCAATCAAGTGTTTTGGTGCATAATTCTCTCAATGAGAGCTAGATGTCCCAGGTTCAAATTCAGGATATAATATATTCATTTTATCCAAGATATCTTGTTGGAACAAAAGTTTGTAGCATTTTTGTTTGGTTTTTTTTTTGTTTTTTTAGGTAGCATTTAAACACAGGATTTCATTTCATATGTGACTGAAATTTATCCCATATGATGGTAAGTCAAAAATTATCTACACATTTGCCATAACATATCTTTAGGTTTGTCAGTCTGCCTTCTGCTCATGTGTGCTTATAGCTGCTACTCTTGTGATTTTTAGCTTGATCATGTCAGTTTTCTTGCTGCTATCACAGTGTAAACATGGCCACTCTGCTAGCAGTTTGCACCAAGGATGAACAAAGAGCACTGGGTGCCTAACAATTTAAAGAAAAAAAAATAATATACCAGCTTCCATCTCCAATTCTCTGTTTAAACACATCAAAAACAACCATTTTCCCTTTTTTTTCAAAAGAATGATGACAGCCGAAGAAAAGTGGCTCATTTACAACAATGTAGAGTGGAAAATGTCCTGAGGAAAATGAAATGAGCCACCATTAATTACTCCAGAGAAATAACCATTCTGGAAAGCTATCCTTTATACTAAAGCCACATCCATACTTCAGGATCAATGGAGGTTAGTTGCATCAAGTTTATTGACAGGAAGGTAGTTTAGAATTAAAACAAAATGTTGTTCAAAATAAAAGTTTTCTTTTTCATTATCAGGTAACAAAATGCTAAATGTAGTTTCCCAGGTTAAAGGAAATACAGAATCAATTCCTTTCAAGTAGCACATTTCTCCTAATAAGTCTTTCGATCTATAAGCTGGTATATGTAAACTTCATTGTTTGATTAAAGAAACAATGTCTACTCAAATGTGTATACCCACTAAATATAACATTTATAGCAGAAAGAATTAATGTTGGATTAAAACAAATTAATTAATTGCTTAAAAATGACACCATTTCCATTTCAAGTATGAGAATAAAGTTTGCAAATAAAGACTTTGAAAGGTCCCAATGAGAGATGTGCAATACCTTAGTAGAATAATTGATCATTGCTTTGCTGGAATAGTTGCAGTGGCTCAGTGATAAATCATGTATTTCTTGAAAGTTGCTCACCAGATTAAAAGTGGTATACAGGCTTTACTCTTTGATAAAAAAATGTCAATCTCTATGCCGGTAGACATTAATTTCATTGCTTAAACAATTAGAATACCTATTGAAATACATGTCCGCATTAAATATAAGGTTTATAGTAATAATATAGACTTTGAAAAGTGAGGAAGTGAGACAGTGTTAGTGGTTGAGCATACTAAGATTCATGAATGTGTATGATAAGTGGCAGATCTACATTTTTGGGGATCTGAAGCTTTAACAGATATATGGGCCTCTTTACAACCAGCGACAACTGATTTGAAGATCAGATCGCCAAAATGTAGGCTGTTAATAAATTCTGGCGAGTTTAATGAGCCCATGCAGCTGGGGGTTCGGTGCTGCAAGCCCCCAAGAATATTTTGAAATTTGACCAATTACAGGAGAATTTTGAGGCCATTTGAAATGAGTATGAGAGCATATTCTAAGGTCAACATTAGCTACTTCAACCCATTGACTTATGAGTCTAAATGACCTTATGTTAATAACAAACACTAAAAAAAACATTGATTTTGATAAAAAATTCATCATTAATAAAAGTTGCTTCAGCGACCCCTCTCAGATTAGGAGGCCATGAAGCTTAAACTTCATTAATTTCATAGTAGATTTGCCATTGTGTATGGCTTATTTATTTAAGTGAATCATCTCTCTTTATCCCTCTTTTTCACGCTCCCCCCCCCCCATATACAGGGTGAGGCAGAAAAGGAGGAACGTTTTTGAAATGGCTATTACTCAGCCCAAGGTGGAGGGACATATATCTGACAGGTACCATTCAATCCATGTTGTCAGTTGAAGCTATGGCCCTGTGGACTATAGAGCACCGTGTGTCTGCCTATGATAGTTTCATGAAGAACAACAAGTCTATCACAGCAATTTAGCCTGAGTTTCTTTGCCAATTCAACATTCACCGAAATCAGGCTGTTCCCACTTGTATCGCAAACTTATGTTGGGTTTATGCACTTTGTACATGAGGTATGTGAATGAATAGCAGACTGGTGGTGGGCCTCACAGAAAGTATGTACCCCAGAAAATGGGGAACAAGGATAATAACTAACAATTTATATAAGATAACGTTTTCTATTATTGGGCTAGGCTCAATTTCCACAAGCAATTATAATCAACCTAATTACAATTAATGTATTTCCCTGGGTATGATGATAAACTACATCTTGCATCAAGGCTTCTGATCGAGAGATTGGAGGTTTTGAGGAACCACCTCTTAACTGCTGTTGTTCCCAGGTCCAACCTGACTTGTTGGGTGGTAGCTAGGGGCAAATAGAGAATCCCCCAAACAAAAATCAGCAATACATTTTTATAGAAAAATGACAAGCAATGCAATACTCAAAAAATATAAAAATACATTTTCATAGTAAAATTACCAACAGAACCTTTTATGATCTACTAAGTATATATCTATAAAACATTCTTTTACTCTAAAAGTATAAAATTATGTACCAAATATCTCTAGTTGAAAGCATAGACTTACATACAAAATATTTAGATTTCAGCATTAAATAACCTATAGTGGTTGATATTCTGTGAAAGACAATCAATCAACCAACAATTAATGGGAGATAACAATAGTTCTATTATGATGATACAATTGTTCAATGAGGTTTGAGGTGTACTTGTTAAAATACTGTGATAAGATTAATATTTAAGTTAATTAGGATTATTTTATTCAGGTCGTTATCTAACACCAGTTCCTGTACTGAGTAAACAGTACTCAAATTGAAGAAACTTACATTCCAAGTTTGCACTCCATATCTGGGAGTTCCACAGTAGCAGGAGGTTCACTCTTTAAGTTGAGTTCATACCAAAATTCTCCGATATACTCATGGAAAAAGCGTAACCTTTAATGTAGAAAAGTAAACAAAATCAAGTCTAAGTTAAGTAAAGCTGAATAACTTTTCTTATTCTACTGAAGGGATATTTTATTTATTTTTCTGTTTGATACATTAGAGTTAGTTGAATTCTGAAAGAATCTTTATATTGCACACACACAAGCACAATTATTGCTCTTGCATAAAGTTAGTTTTCTCCCTGTCTCAATGGAAACTTCTGTAATCTTTCCAGACATTTTCTTAAACCTTTCAAAAAAAAAAAAAAATGAAATATTTCCAAATGGAGAGGATAAAAGCTAACAGGAAATGAATTTAGTAAAATTGATGTTTGATCCAAGGTAAAATGTTTGTAATGGTTTTCAAGGTAGAAAATTGCCTACAAATTCGAATGCCAATGCAATGCTGTTTTCCATTTTTTATTTTTGTTTTTGTGCTGCCAAAATAGAAGCATTGTAATTACAAAGAAAAATAAATTAGATTTTTACTTACGATCCTGCTTTCTTCAAGATGATGGTTGGAGCAAAAGTTAAATTATAAGCTTCTTTCTGACCTGCTTTTACATAAAGAGAACTAGGTCCTTGCAAATCTGGCCCATTGATGGTAACTTCCAGAGTCAAGTTGTGATTGGTGGGGTTGGTAACATTCACATTTATCAATGTTGTTTTCTGTCAGTTAGAAAGGAAAAGAATATTTGATCAGATTTTGTAATAAATAAAAACAGAACGAAAGAGTATTGTATGTGGGATTATTTATTTTTGTATATATAATGAAGTCAAGTTTTATAACAATAAAGTAATCCAAAAAGTAATTTGACCCAAAGAGTTGTGAGTTCAATACATGGCCACAGCAGTGGTGAATAAAAACTTGAAGATTTGAGTTACTAAAGGGAATTAACTGAAACTAAGATATCCAGAAAGGGTATGGCACATAGACCTAGAATGATTTACCCTTGCAGACTAAATAAAGAGTTTGGATTGAAATTCCAGCGTAAATCATCTGAAGAAGGCTGGACTCTACAGCAGCTAAAACATTGTGAATATGACAATAAAGATGAGGACAACAGTTTAAACACTGTAAATAAATAAATTTATTGGCTACATTATCCAACCTCTGATGGAAACTGTGGTACAAAACAGAGATTGATGCCTACCAAATTCCTATTCATCACCGCCCTGATAGAGTTCAAACATGATGGCACAGCCTGTTGGTTAATGAAATATTTTCCACTGCAACCTCTTTCTCACATTGTTAATCTCTTGATAATCTATTGCTATTTATATGGCAAATGTTCAGACATGCTACATTCCTTAGTTCACACCTGCCCAGCTAGGACCTCCTATACCACGTATACAGTGTCAAATCATGCTCATTCCCTTTATATTCCTTTGGTAAGGTTCCATTCAGACAGCTTCTTCCCTAGAACTGACACTTTGTGGAACAGACTCCTGAGATGATACTTCCCAAAAATTAAAATCTTAGCCTTTTCAAGTCTAGGGTCAAGAGTTATCTATCGTCATAATATACACCACTTCTTTCTCCTTTTATGCTCTGATAAGAAAATGTGGAACAATTTTCTCCCAGATGAAGAAAAAACTTGAGATAGGAGAGATAGGGTTCTATAGAAGTATGCTGGGAATAGCATGAACGGAATATGTAAGCAATAAGTAAGTTTTAAGAAAAATGGAAATAAAATTTCACTTGTGCTTGTGATGAGAAAAAGGAAACTGAAATTTCTGGGGCACATAATGAGGAAAGAGGGCTTGGAAAATTTGAAAATCACAGGCCATACTGCATACGTAATTAGCTTATGTAAATGGCTGGCAGAACATGAACCAGGGGGAATAATTATAGGACAAACACTGTTTTGAGCTACAAAGAGATAGAAATCATAGAGGGTTATGATTGTCTACATGCTGAAGGGACACAGCACATAGGAAAAAATGATTATAATTATTGCAAGTGTGTGGGTGTGTTGGATGCCTCCAATAAACTGCATCAGTTTTTATCTTGGAGCTAGATGCAACATTAGTGAGAGATTTGCAGCATTATCATTGAAAAATCTCAATAATTTTGACAATGGGGTCAAATTAAAAGGTCAACCACCTTCAGTTAGGTTCAGCCGTAGAATTCTGTTGATTGTAAATCTAGGCGAATGACAAACAGATGACTGTGACTACGTATTATTTGGATCTGTTGGGTGTCATATAGACTGGCCAGTCAGAGGACAAGTAGATCTAGACCACTCGTTTTTTACAAGAAATAAGATAAGATGTGTTTTATTTCTCTATTTTATTTCTTGTTCTTCAGTGGACCATGTGTTGCCTGAAAACCACACAGCATACAGGTGACCTAAACAGGTAACTCTAACAAACTAGAAAGAAACACTTCTCCAATGTAAGTCTTTCATCACCTTCCATACGACTTTATATTCATTGTATTAATTAGAATATATTTATATGTACACACTTCTATTTACTTGTTTTCAGATCCTAATGACAAAAGGACAATAAAGGAGTAGGGTTAAGAAAAACAGAAGAAGGTCGGTTATATAGAACCATTTGGTACTAACCTGACAGGGGCATTTGATATTGATAGTACCAACTGGTGGGCCAGCCTTGACATTCACTTTCAGAATGTACCATACACGGTATCCATAATATTCATTGCAACTTTCATCTGATCCATAAGCTTCATCCCCATCACTGTCGACTTCTCTGA